AAGTGAAAGAAAGAAGTACGTTATTCTTTCGAAATGTCGCTCACGAGAGGTCAGTCTTGGAAGAACGCAGGGGTACGCAAAAAAAGATTTTGAAATTTTCGAATTCAAATTACTTTTATCGTTAAATCTCATGTATTGAGCAAATATCTAACTGAACAATATTCTCGAGAAGTCAACCTACACAGATCATTCTATTTGACCAAAGAGTAAAACTGATAGAAGATCCAAAAATATACCTTACCGATACTTAACCGTTCCGAGAAATTTTCCATGAATTCGCCCAATAAATTTGTCTTCGGACAAAAGGTTCCACGACACAACTCAGCAATTAAGGAGTGACGCTACAATTAAATATTTATAGTGAAAAAGTAATAAATAACTTAATCCTAAATCATTAAGAAAAACGGCTTGAAATAGGTGAATAAGAAGGAAATTAACGCATTCTACGCAAGCACACTTACAAAATACTACTTTCACGGAGAGTTCAGATGAGAATAGATGTTGTGTCAAAGAATCAAAAAATAAATACCCTTTTTACAGCTTTAACAATAAACTTCATCGGGCCCGTGTAATATAAATAATTATAAGTAGCCCTGACCTTGTGAGGCGCTCGGTGGTTCAGTCCCCACATGTTCGCAGTAAATTATTCTTCTTGTATTAGCTAGAGGGCCACTCCAGCATAAACTTGGTGCGTAAGCTCTATCGATTGTTCCACTATTGTTAAGAACAGAGTTATCCATAATCTAAATCAAAATAACACTGACTTATTTACATCTCAACAATTTCAAGAATGTTTTTCGAAAAACATTAAAACCGGAAGCAAGTAAGACAAGTGTCCCGACTATGAACACCAAACACGCAGAGTTGCGGCGTGATCGGATCCGTTGGCCTCATCGTCAAACACTCGCGGAACTTCATTATCGTTTTTAATTTTTGCTAATTGGTCAAACAAATAATCGTCATGTGGTCGTAGAATGGTCGTCACACTGGAAGTTAATAGCAAGTACATAGCGCCTTATATACAAGTAGTCGCAAACAACTTGCATCAAACATGTCATCCTTTTAGTGGTTCAAGGAATTTATTAATTCAATGGGATCAAGTTACTTAGCTAGAAATTTAGCAAAGAAGAGAATGCAACAAGTTCGACAAGTTTGACATCTTGCAAGTTGTATTGTGAAAGTATTTAGTATATTTTATCTAAATATTTGATAGAAGAAATCAGATTTCAGTTTATACATATTGCAATCAGGAAAAATGTTCTGATATGATACTTATCATTCGTCTGTATATGAGAAGTGACACGTCTCCAGCTATCAACTTCGTGATTAACATTAATAGAGAATTGGCACTGATTTTCAACATGATATAGTTAATAGTATGGTTATCATTATGTATTTACCATTATTATCAATAAGGTTAATTATTAGTAAACAATGCATCGTAACAATATTTGTGAGACTAGTTCATACTAAATTAAGGGTAGCGTGAGTATCGCTCCTGCGATCCATATGGTTGCACCGGACGAGCTTTAGCTTGTGTCCGCAATTGCAATCGAACAGCAACCATCATCATCACCATCACCACCATCATCAAGCATTGTAGTAAAACTTGATCAGATTTAATTATCAACTACTAACACACGATTGGCCCAAACGAAGAAAATAGTTATTACTAACCCTGGAGAGTTTGGTCGTAGATAATTTTTATTCACAATGATAGGAAGAGAATAAATTTGTTAATTAACGTTTGCCCAGCATAAAAACCGTGACTACATTCAGTCAACGTTTTCTCGTTGAACGTTCCCTTGTGGAATAAAGTTCATCGCTCAAGTACCGAAAACAGAGGTAACTCATTTGGCAGTAATCTGTTAGCAGACGGTTAGTTTATTCGGTACATGGCTCAATGGGAAAGCCTTATCAAGTTCATCGGACAAATAACGCGGCATCAACACCGTAAAAAATATAACACTATTTCGACGAGACAAAACTCGCGACTCTATGCACTAAAATACTACGACACTCGTTCTCTTCCGACTGAAAGCTTTGCAGAGATTTGTAGCAGATCTTAGATATTCATTTAACAATATAACACGAAACAGCGGTCAACGATGTGCAAGTTGGTGCTATTGCGCAATAACGATGTGTCCAGCTGACGCTCAGGGCGTACTGGGCGGGTATATATAACAATCAAACGAATCTTCCACGAGAGATTAATGAACGATTCGTGCGAGCATAAACTTACTTTTGTGTCTTTTTCTTGAGAATGATCATAATTTATTTCAGTTATTTATTATCGGCTGCTTTATGCCAAATTGTTAATTTGTTTCGTCATTTCGAGTGCAGTGAGAACCATTATTAAGTCTCGCTCCAGAAAAAATCTGCATACAACGGTTTGCATTTTGGATAAGAAAGCGGCTGATAGCTCGGTGACTGTGTGGGCACAAATTGCTTAATTTCGTATCCTAATCACTATATATGAGATTTTTTCTAGGGTAACCTGCAACATAGAATAATGATCGGAATAGTGGCACGTTAGCCTCCTTAATTATGCAATAAAAAATAGAAATACATTATTGTTTCACTATAAAAATGAAGCAAAAAATATTTAAGTCCACAAATAAAAAGCGTTAAGGTTGCTTGTGATGCCTGAACTCTCGGTGTTCATTCATACGTCACTTAAACACAGGTACAACAATATTAGGCGTCACCGCCATTTATTCTTCCTCCTTGCAAACTACGCACGGTAATCGTGAACAATGATCCAGACCAACGACTGCTAATATATTCCTGAAATTATTAATATCCTTAAATAATAATTGGAATTAGCAACCAATACTTCACGTGCCAATTTCGTTAGATCCGTTTTTTGGCCTAGAAAATTTTAAAACCCCATCAAGACGCGCACAATATTCGCACCATCTCATTTATCGCATTAAAAAAAGGACATCATCCACAAAAATCTCCCTCTCACTTGCATGCACCTTGAGATGACGCTAATACTACAAACTTTCCTATAAATACTTTCTCATATACATGTTGAGAAGGTTTGTAGGAATAATAAAAAATGAATTATATATAGGTTAACTTATCTAGCTCACAAGTATAGATTGAGGAAATGTCAACTCATGATGATTGGGTAAAGCAATGGTCCATCTAAACCAAACGATTGAACAGGTTTAGGTTCAGAGTTGTATCAATGAGCCAGCAAAGGGCAGAGGAGCCTGAACCATACGGCGCTACAGCCTCAGGGACAGGCACCAATACGACCGTCTTTGTAGCTCGCATATTTCTTGCGCAATAAATGCTTAGGTGCAATACTCGTCTTTAATGAATTCCTATTCAGTGTGCATGTATAGTTGCCCACTGATGTAAAAGAGCCTAAAGTTAAGAACACAGGTTTGGCTTCTGACATCATTCCTAAGGAAATTTTATAAAGAACTGACTACCGTGCATTTGTTAAATAACATTTTTAAACAATCAACCTTCTTGTTAATATATTCATTCCCTTCACATAACTCTAACAAAAAATAAAATGAGCATCGTTGGTACATATTCAAAACGCGTTTTCCGTACACCTACTGTAAATAAACCTTAAGGAGACGTTATATGTAAAGCGTTGAATTGCACGAGAAGAACTCGCATGTGACCCAAGCAGCAACAAATGCAGTTCACCAACAGGCTGCAACATTAAAACTTATCGATGTGTCAGCTTATGTCTAGTTATTGTCACGGCCGCCGTTTGCAACGAAACTGCTTTTTTAACCAAACCCGGCCAGGAATTTCAAGAATATAGAATATATTTTGAAACCTCTTTTCTATTCAATTCAAGGGGCATCTATCGGTTGAATCTAAGCGCATGTCTATTCTCTCGGAATTACTTTTAGAAGCTAATGGTTGGGTAACGCAATTAAATGTATACGATAATGCATCGTTGGTCACTAAGAAAAGGCATTTTTATACAGTAGGAAATGCTTCAATACCTTGGCTCAAGTGGTGCCAGTAATTCTTAAATGCGATCAAAATTAGTTTGAAAACATCCGAAGAAGCGAACACTAATCTGACCCTGCGTGCCGGGTTCTCTCACTTGTGCGTCCTGATGTTGCCGTATATTGTGAAGGTCTTTACAGTGGAGAATCTGGACTGGCAGCGAATGTATATTTGCAATCGAAGTTGATTTCGAATCGCTGAACAATGTATATTTGCAATCTTGACGACGCGTTTTTCAGCGCCGGAACCCAGTTTTGTGCGTGGAATGCCGTAGCTGAATTTAGAGTTTCTATTGCGGCAAATGTTGTAGCTTCTGAGAAAATTTTTTTTAGGCTATGGCTTACGAGATAATTTTCTAAGTTACGGTTGATGAGATAACTTTTTAAGATACCGCTTAATTTTGTCAGGGTCACGAATTAAATTTACCATTCGACGCCATTCGATCAATATGGCAGACAAGAGTTGAGCTCGGGATAAACAGGGTATTTAATGTTGAATAATTTTACAGGTTTTGCTCATCACACGCTGTAGGGATGCTCATCACACGCTGCAGGGATGTTCATCACACGCTGCAGGGATGTTCATCACACGCTGTAGGGATGCTCATCACACGCTGCAGGGATGTTCATCACACGCTGCAGGGATGCTCATCACACGCTGCAGGTCCACGCAGAGTTCAGTTCGTTGATGGTCGCCTGCCGAGGTTCAGTAGCGACGATTTTGATTATATTTAACTTACTCTACTGAGTACCCTAATAGGCTGCAATAAGAAAAATTCTGAAATCTAAGTGAACACTTTGTAATGGATTACTCCTACGGGCAAAAAAATAATGTTTATCGCACTCAACCGCAAATTTATGGGTCCTAAAATTTCATCCCGCATTATATTACGCACACAGCATGCAAGATCTTAGCATTTTCTTACTTCTCAGATAAAATTGTTTTTTTCTCTTGGTAATACTTTTTAATGCTTGTATAACTAAAATGTTCGCTTCGCCAGAACATAAAGAACACAACACACCAAATATTTCGTCACTGCCACTGTCTAGTGCACGCGTTTACACTAGCCGCATGCGGAGGCACATTTTTCACAGTGATTTAAGAAGCAAATTCTCTGTACTCTTCACCGCTGAACGACGATTCAAGTTGTGCACGTTTTCAAATCCCGAGTTTTTGCCAAACGCGCAAAAAGTTCCGGTTATCGTATTAGCTTTTTCCTTGCAGCACAATATGATTGAGATAACTCATGCCTTCATTTTGGGATTCCATGCAATTAACAACTTGGAAAGTACAATAATCCAAGTAAATCACTGCTCCGTTTGTTTCTTAGTATGTGCGTGATTGATGATCGAGCTGCCTCTAGTGATGTCACGAATTGATCGTAAGCTGAATTCCGCCCCACAACTGAAACAAAAATATCATTAGTAAACTGCATCGAGAAAAGGTGTCAGCGTGCAACGATATTAAATCATGGCATAAATAACCAACAATAACTCGTCAGAAGCACGCACTGCTGGTAGGAAAATAAAGCATCAATACAGGACAATAATAATGACGTTTAAGAAATAGATGCAACAATCGCGACAGTTCCAATGCTCCACCTGAGAACTCGTAACAAACCATTAATTAACTCACTGGTTACTCGCTTTCAACCATCGCCGATACAATAATATTTAACTCCAATCTTAGACCTACATGAAAGAATCTCTAAAAAATTATCAGTGAAATTATTAAATTTCACAACTAATTGTATTGTTATAAACATCGTATAACAAGATGTAGATGATACGCATCTGAATTGGCCGAAACAAAAAAAAAATTAAAGATATTTCTCCACCTTGCATTCAAAAAGGAATCATCATTTGACATATAAAGTAGTAGTAACAAGTTGAAAAATATCAAAAAATTTGCATAGACCTCACAAATCTCGATGATATCCACAAAATTATCTAGGTTGTTATTTGTAACAAGCAAAAACGTACGAGAATTATTAGAAGCAAGGGTAGGTCCAACTCACACAGCTAAGTTAGATTAAATTCAATAATAAATTTCAATCAAATTGTATTTTAAAATTCTACTTAGACAATTCCGAATGTAAATCTTAATCCTGATGAATATCTCACTCGAGGCGAAATGTAGAGAGCCCCCAAGATAAGCACCAGACCCCAAGTGGGGGGCTGGGAGGCCCCGTGTCCCCCAGAGGCGGGGGTGTGGTAAGTCTTGGAGATCATCTGTGGCCCCAGCGCGTTGTACTCTTCGTATGGGTAGTCCCCCGCGTCGCTGAATATCCTGCGTCAGACGGTACGTGTATCTAGTATATATAATATATCATATCCTGCGTGAGACGGTACGCGTATAAAGTATATATAATATATCATATCCTGCGTGCATTTCATGGGGCATAAGACGCTACGTATATATAGAACATATCCTGCGTGAGACGTTACGTGTATAGTATATATATAACATATCCTGCGTGAGACGTTACGTGTACTATTATATATATAACATATCCTGCGTGAGACGTTACGTGTACTAGTATATATATAACATATCCTGAGTCAGACGTTACGTGTATACAGTATATATAATATATCATATCCTGCGTGAGACGTTACGTGTATAATTATATATATAACATATCCTGCGTCAGACGTTACGTGTATACAGTATATATAATATAACATATCCTGCGTGAGACGTTACGTGTATAGTATATATATAACATATCCTGCGTCAGACGTTACGTGTACTAGTATATATATAACATATCCTGCGTCAGACGTTACGCGTATACAGTATATATAATATATCATATCCTGCGTGCAATTCATGGGGCATGAGACGTTACGTATATATAGAACATATCCTGCGTGAGACGTTACGTATATCTAGTATATCTAGAACATATCCTGCGTGCAGTTCATGGGGCATGAGACGGTACGTATAAATAATATAATAATATATATAACATATATCCAAGTTAGGACTGGCAGCATGCCACGCCCGACGATGCGAACAGTCGAGCTCGAAGCGTCACCATAAAGTAATTTATTTTCTGAACTGTTGAAAGATTTTTACGATTCAAAGGGAAACCGATATAATTCTGTAGTTGGTGTAATAGTTCAATAATGATATCTTACTACTTGTGTCTTCAGAGACAAAAACTTTGTCGCATTTGATTCCTATAAGTAATAACTTAATCAGAAAAACAAATACTTTACTCAATTGGCTTGTGAATTGACAATTCGAAGAGTGTCGTAAAATTAACTTAGTGTTTATGTAAGCGGATAATCTTCTCGTTGGTGACACCCGTCAGTTTAAGCGAGGTTAGCATGTATAAATGTGAATAGGGATACAATTAAGCCAAAAATATTATACATCAATCCAGAAAAATGTTCGAATCACTTCAAAATTAACCCCCAAGCCGATTTGCCCGTATTAATCCCAGCACAAATTCTACGGCATCATGAAATACAGGGAGATTTAGCCACAAAAAATTCATATTTCTAAAAAGCTTCATCGCGCAATAAAGGAAGATCGAGTTGTGGCCGCCCTTTGCACTGAGGATAGAAAAAATATAACTCAGTACGCACTGCAGTGAGTGACAGGGAGCGCATTTTCTCGTCGACGAAAACGTGAAGTCACGGATGGACAGCCAGACGGACAGAGAGACAGACGGACAGACAGACGGACGGACAGGGCGAGCACAATAGTGTATTCTTTCTATAAATGAGAAAATGCGCTACAAGGACTCGCACCTTGGAGCGAGGTCGTAGGCGCGGGCCATGTTGTCGGAGTTGAGGTGCTCCAGGTCGTCCTCGGAGCCTGGGGGCGACGGGGACGCGTGGTCATCCCTGGAGGCGGCGTCTGGGTCATACCACTCGCTGTCTGATGACTCGTTGCGGTGATACTCGGTGGCTGGGGGGCAAGCAATTGTGGCTAGGAGGCAAGTGCAATTCAGTTTTGGTGAGGCTTGGATTACTGTCTTGAAAAATATTGCCGCTGGCGCTTTAATACGCAGATCGTTTATCAAACTATTTAATTTAGAGAGGAAAATAGTTTAAAATGTTTATTCGTACTAAGACGATTACGTGAACTAACGCATGAGTTCTTAAAAGTTATCATTCAATGGAGCCAAGAAAGAGCCATTATGTTCCCCTGTTTTTGCTTAGTTGGAGTGCGTGGAGTCAGTAGCAGACTCCACGGCACCGCCGCGTTCACAGCTCACCATCACACTGAACTCCACTCTTGTATGAAGTAAGCGATGAACATTTCCTTGATTCTCGAGCTATTTATTTACTACAGATGTGCGGTAATAAATAAATTAACAAACAAGTAATTGCGCAGTGGAAAACTTTCTGCATTGCAGCGGCTTTTAGGGTCTGCATACATTTTCTTAGCGGCAAAAGAATGGCAGTACTTTTTTCAAATGGTATATGTACAAGGTATTCCAAAATCTTCATTTCACTGTCATAGATACTTTGGACAAAAAACGTTAATGCGAAAAATGGAGTGTCAGTCCTCTAGATTACCAGCGTCTATAAGCCGCTGACGATGTACAAGTTATTCAAAAATCTTCATTTAATTGTCAGATATACATTTTAGTTAAAAACCGCTAATACAAAACGTGGAGTGTCAGTCCCCAAGACTAACAGCGTCTATAAGCCATGAATGTGTCCATGTAATGCAGGCCTTTATTTAATAACACAATAGTCTTTGCAATATGCGACACATGATAAGCTCGCACACACCTTCGATGCCTTCGACAGCCCCGTCGAGTTCGCTGGACTCTGTGGGCGCGTCGGCCTCCACTACAGGAGGACGCTCGCCTTCGTCGAGCTTCGTGTCGGGATGAGCTTCGTCAGGTAACTTGTGGACGTCTTCGTTGTTATCTTCCTCGTAGTCTTTGCAGTGCTCCTCGTCAGGCTGCAGCACCACCAGGGACGTCAAGGGTGTCACGAAGTGGTTCTGAGAAAACCAACCATAATTTAAATAGTAGGGTAAAATGAAGTAAACTATTTGTAAATTATCTGCTATTGTTGTGACTATCCATCATTAAAATTAATTGTAATATGTTATTTAGCACTTATTTTTGGCTCTGTGTCAGGAACAAAACTGACCAAAAGTACCAAAAGATAATTTTACGTTTCAAAGACTGCCAACAAATGCTTCAGCTTTGGGATTTTGCCAGCTATTATGTGTTCAATAGGGCGTAATTTATACCTCAAAAAAATTCCTGGAAGTAAAAACGTTAACAAATGCAATAAAGTGACAGCAATCACGTCGCAGTCTGTAATAAGAGTTCAGTCAGAGCCTCTAGCACAGTGGTTCCCAAACTTTTCCAGGCTGGCGTCCCCTTTGGCTCCCCAGTGAATCTCTAGCCCAGTGAATTTTGAATAAAAATTCCTAACTACCAAACTGTGATTAATTAGCTCGTGAAAATTTATTCGAGTCCGAGTCATGTTCTACGCGTGTTGTGTACAAATCGTCAAACAAACGTACGAACTTCTGACTTCGACTTCACGGACTGCCGCCCCCTACTGCCCCTTTCTTCCTCACTGCCTCCTCCCCCCAGATCTCTCCACCGCCCACAGGGGGACGATATCGCCCACTTTGGGAACCACTGCTGCAGGACCGAACCGACGCACAGACCTGCAGCGCCAGTGCGATGGCCTTGCGTCGGGCGGCGGCGCGGGCGTGGTGGCTCGAGGACGACTTCTCCGCCTCCAGGAGGTCCTGCGGCATGAAAAAACAATAATGGTGAGTTATATCTTTAATTAAATTGCATGAAGAAGACAAACATGATATTAAACCGGAACTTTCTATTTACCTGAAACAGTCGAGGTTGAGACCAAAGCGTGTCGTTACTTATCAACAAAAACGTTACTTTATTGAGCTTCAACGTGACGAGTAATATGATAAAAATAATGGGTATTTTTCGGCAACGGAATTTATTTTTGCTTCAGTTAAGAGGAACTTTATCGTGCTGCACTCTGGACATAACGGATCAAATATCTTCTAAACTGATCAACATGAAAGTGAAATAGCTTTATCACAAAATATTCATTTGGGACTAATGTTGCCTTATAAATGATAGATATAATTTGAAGGAATGTGAACTTAAACACTATAGAAGAGATTTGCTTCCATAGCGTTCGATTTTTCAAAATAGTGCAATCAGCTGCCAGAGCTAAGACCTTAAACAACATCAGATATACATCGCAGAAAAAAAGGGCGAATTAACTAGGAATGAGAAGTAACCTTGACACTGAGGAAGGCCCAGAGTCTCCTGACGAAGTTTCGCGGCGTAGGGGCGAGGTGCAGGTGACGCAGCAGATGACGGTCAGGTGGAGACACCAGGTTCCAGACGGTGACGCCCATCGTAATCTCTCCGTTGCGTCCGTGTCCGGTGATGTTCGCACGAATCGTCGCGCCGTTAGAGCTTCGTGTCTGTCCCGACACTACGAGCTCGCTTCCCTGACGCACCACAATATTGTGTTAACATTTAACGTGCTAGCTCTGGTTAGCGAAATTTTTAATAGGAATGGATCTACCGTTCGCTGAGAATAATCTTTTCGTACATTTTAAGCCTCTTCAATTGCCAAATTTCATGAATGTAGCGTCTAGTAAAAAATTGTTCTTTCTAAAAATGCTGGTATAAATGAGAGCACATTTCTGGAATTTCCTTTGAAAGTTGAATACCATCTAATTTTTTACTACTTCTGTTCTGCATACAGCGAAGTAATTGTAGAAATGCGTCACGAATATGTCGTCATTTGCCTGGGCAGACATGTAATGCCTTTGCAGGAATTGTGATGTTGCATCTTGATCGTAGTGGCCTCTGAAGTAGTAGTCAAATGCGTCCAGGTCGTAACCAAGATTGTTCTAAATGCCTCCAAGTCGTTACTAAGATTATTCTAAATGCCTCCAAGACGTAACCAAGATTATTCTAAATGCCTCCAAAACGTAACCAAGATTGTTCTAAATGCCTCCAAGTCGTAACAAAATTGTACTAAATGCCTCCAAGACGTAACCAAGATTGTTCTAAATGCCTCCAAGTCGTAACTAAATCGTTCTAAATGCTTCCAAGTCGTAACCAAGATTGTTCTAAATGCCTCCAAGTCATAACCAAAATTATTCTAAATGCCTCCAAGTCGTAACAAGATTATTCTAAATGCCTCTAAGTCGTAACCAAGATTGTTCTAAATGCCTCCAAGTCATAACCAAGATTGTTCTAAATGCCTCTTAGTCGTAACCTAATTCTTTTAAATGCCTCCAAGTAGTAACCAAAATTGTTTCAAATGCCTCCAGATCGTAGTTAAGATTGTTCTAACCTTGAAGTAGTTGTAGAAGTGCGTCTTGGTGAGGGAGTCGAGCAGCACGGAGTCGTCCGTGTAGGAGAACTGTACGTCGAGCAGTAGCGGGGTGGCCAGCTCGCGGTAGAAACCCTGTAGTTGTTCCGCGACGTCCACATCCTCGTAGATACGTCGTGTAGCACCACCGTGCTGCACGGTGACACGGGGCCATACTTTCAAAATTCGCTAAGAGAACGTTAGTACTCACGCTTTATTTTCTTGTCTATGATTGATGGATTTGGCTTGAAAGGCCGTCAATGATTGGCTAATGAACTTAAGATCTCTTAACTTTTTTTGAAAGTATGGGCCCAGGTTACCAATCTCTACACAGATGAGAACTTATATTGAAATATTTTAGACTTATTTAAGCAATACTTATCACTCTCTTAAATAATTAATTGATAATTAAATAAGAAGAAATCACACTGGCTTAATTAACAAGTCAAATTCTTCAAATTTTTATTCTTTGAGTAATTCAAATTTTGAAACAATAGCAAATTTATCTCCTTATGAACAAGAACTTAGTTCAAGTCATTTACTTAGTATAGATTATCATAAAAGCTGATCAGTTTCAATACGACTTAACCCAACCTGATAATGAAATTGCCAGCGACAGCATAACCTTTTTCATTAACCAGCCCATTCCTTCTATTATAACATACAAGAAGTTTTCACAGCAAAAATTGGCAAAATAGAACGTTCAGCAGCAAAGATAAAGATTATTTGCTTGCGGTCGCGGACGTAAAATCTCCTCGCTAATGTTTCTGCGGTCACTTCATTGTGAACGCGTAACTGTGTGGTGTGCGGTGTCAAAAGTCGACATAATTGGCCCATATTTCTTTGAGGAAAACGAAAATGCATTAACGGTGACTGCTGCTCGGTACACGCAAATAATTGACATATTTTTCTTGCCCAAACTGGCTCAAATGAATGTTAGGGATATCTGGTACACACAGCGCGATGTTCAATGGATATTCTCTAAGACAACATTTTACACAGCGCCTCATCTCCTTGAGAGGTGAACTTCTTCGGCTTGTCCGATCCCCCGGTTTAGCTCCGTGTGATATTTTTAATCAATTGTTTACAATGACTGTCCAAGGACCCTACCTCATTTGAAGAACAACATACGCCAAGCCATCGCCAACATAACCGTCAATAAGCTTCAGCGAGTTGAACGAAACTTTAAAAAATCCACCAGGTGAATGAATTGACCATGGGGCCGTTATTTGTCTGATGTCACGTTCAAAACTAATTGATACCTAAATTATTTTAATATCTTTTTTAATAAAATTTCTATTCCAAAAATATCTTTACTAGTTTTTTCACTGAGCTTTCAAATCAGGAAGTTTCTGCGCATCACCCTGTACGTCATAGTTCATTACCAATTAAACTAAAGTAAGCGCATTCACGTAATTACGTAATGAAATTGAATAAATAATACTCCTTTTGTATTTTGGTGGCGACAAAAATCCGCACATTACGAGCTTGCGCTAATATTTGAAGCAAAATCCTAACACTATGCTTACATCCTATAATCCTTCTAATTAATCTTTCAAGTCGTCTTTCTTTCACTCCTTCGTCACCTGGAGTGCGAGCTTCTCCAGCAAGTCCTGGTCGGCGTCCTTGCCGAAAGCGAGCGTGAAGATGGCGGCGCGGTGCTTGTTGCGCCGGCGCGCGTTGTCGAGCAGCGTGCGCGAGTGCGTGACGCCGTGCGTGGGGCGGCCGTCCGTGAGCAGCACCAGCAGGTGTGAGATGACGTGGGCAGCGCGGCCTCCGCCTCCACCAGTAGACAGTGCCTCCTGAAAAGCAGGCGAGTCATCGTGTTTAATGATTTATGCAAACTGCATTTTTGTCGTGGGGGCAAATGAATCTTGAATTAACTTCAGGATTAACTTTTTAACTTTGAAAGTCATAGGAAAATGTACTTTCAATTGTAGAAATAGGAATACAGGTAGAGAGTGCCTCTTGAAAAGCAGGCGAGTCATCGAGTTTAATGATTTATGCAGACTGCATTTTTGTCGTTGGGGCAAATGAATCTTGAATTCATTTCAAGATGACTCTACAGATAACTTTTTAACTTTGAAAGTAATAGAAAAATATGCTTTCAATTGTAGATATAGCAATACAAGATTCCTATTTCTATAAGAGACTCGACTCATTGAATCAGTACAAGGTTTAAAATGCATTTGGAAAGCTATCATTATTTACATTATTTTTATGTCGTGAATGTTCTGATGAAAAGCATTTAGCTAATTATATATTCCGAGTTACTATCACCTTGAATGTAAACTAAACCATTGAACGTTTTCGTTCCAAATTTGTTCTTGGTAGAGTCTCATCGCTAGCAGAAAAGAAACACTGAAGTTGTATCAGGCTTCGGTTCTGAATCAAATGAAATTAGTTGCAACAAAAATCTTGTGAACTTACCTTGAATATAAACACTCTTTCATTCTACTGCACTCTTAAGCGCGAGGTTTGGCCTAACTCGTCCACTTTTTTGCAACATAAATCACATCAAAGGACGCACTGCATTGCAGCTAAAGCTTGCCTCATTCACACACGCTTCGTAAACAGAGAAAGTATTTCCTGTTGCCCAAATAAGACAACAAAGAAACAATCACTATTGATTTTCATAAGAGTGGAAGCCATGCAAAACATAATTGGTATAATTAAAAATAAAATTTTGTTATACTAACCTGTTAATATGCAAAATTTAAATCAGTATGAGAGAGACCGTGAGTGAGAACACGCAAGTAAAGCAGAACAACACATCAAGTCATGCGTCAGCAGTCAAGAGCCTTGAAAGACCTCCGTCAGAGAGCCTGTTTTTGCGTCATGAAATAAATTGGAGTCGTAAACCAGCTCAGAATATAATCTGGATTATTCCAGAACATAAGACTTCCTCCGTGTGCACAGAGAATCGGCTAAAAACGTTGTCACCTAAACGTCGTTTCCGCAGAGTAGCGATATTTTACCTGACGCACTGAGGGTATAATAGCAAAATTTGTTCATCGGCAGTACAGCCTTTCGAGTTTCGGAAGCTCAACCTCAAGAAAACTGACTTCTCTTCTAGCTTTAATTGCACTTCAGATTGAAAAATTCTATTCAAACCAATTTCTCAAATGCTCTTATGCCGCAAAATAAGTTATATAACGATAATAGAGCATGATTTATTCAAGGTAGTGACTACAGATTCACGTTAAATGACAAGCGCCACTCGCAGGCCGAGGATGAGACGATCGAACTCGGCGCTCGGTTGTAGACGCGCAATGAAGAAAAAACAAATAACTTCTTTGGTTTTCTTTTCCTGATACTCAGTTTAGTATCAGCAGTTGATGGGGCTTTGGGAATAACTACAAGGGTTGAAGACGCTCATTGCTAAGTCATGGCATTGATAAAGTTAGGTATAATACTTCTTTCCTTTGCTTGGACGTACTTTTGAGCTCAATGCTTGGAAGTGGCGCGGAAAATTATCTTTCTTGCAAGTATTTAGTTTAAACGTATATTGTAGAATGAATAAAGAAGTTAAAGATCATTTCTGTGGTGTTACAAGATACATTATTTTACTACATGCATGTGGCTACAATCTCCGGTGCCACCAAATATTTTAAATGCATTGAGTGACGGGAGGTACCTATATTTCCTAAAGCCTCCTTGTTTAAGTGTGAAGAATTTCATGGTGTGACTGGCCGGTTAAAATATTCGAAAGTTTCGGCGGAAAGAAGAAGACGTAATTAAACTTAACAAACATACTTCATGTTTTCTTTGAAAAATAACTGTCTACGGTTTCGGGGTATTATGGAATAATGTTTGAATTAAAACAAGCAGAATAAAAAATTAAGGTCATCTAACTATAACGTAAATTGATTCTTAATGTTTGGAAAAAGTGAGAGAATGTGGCCGTTCGTGTCACTGGGAGGGTGCATATCGTGTCACAGAGAGGGTGCATATCGCGTCACTGAGAGGGTGCATATCGTGTCACTGAGAGGGTGCATATCATGTCACTGGGAGGGTGCATATCGTGTCACTGAGAGGGAGCATATCGCGTCACTGAGAGGGTGCATATCGCGTCACTGGGAGGGTGCATATCGCGTCACTGAGAGGGTGCATATCTACCTCACGACGGCAGCAGGTCGACACACAGCGCCTGCTTCGCCTAGAAAGAAAAGTGAAATAAAAACAAATATTATGAACGGTGCCTTTAAAAGGTGCTCTTGAAAACAGGATACTCGTGAATGAAAATGTGCATTTCAAAATAACAACAAGCAGCTTACTTATCTGAGATGGCGAAATGCCCATGTGCCTTGGAATCAGTGCTAGTTATGCGTAAGACATAACATAAATTTAAATTTAGTGCAATTAAATTTAGTGCAAGTAGAGTGCACATTGCTGGTAGACGTGACTTGTCTGCGTGCAAAATGTGCTAAGAGAAACAGGAAATAATGCGTGCCAAAGATCATTAATTAGCCAAACACATTTACATGAACTGAAACAAATTACCGAGAAAAGTCTACTGATTAAATAATAACTGTATAAATGCCGCCCTGCGTGAGTTAGGAGAATTGAATGAATGCGGATGGCAAATGCAGAATGCGCTGGATATTGGCGATGGAAATAAAACATGGAGGATCATGGAGCTGTGGAAAAATGATATGAACATTCAAATGGCAAATAATAACATCAGTAAGTATGGGAAATATAAGAGCGACCGCAGTTGATATTCAACACAACCAGGGACAAAAATGAGAGTAAACTGTGTGCTAAAAATTAGCCCTCATCACAGATACCTTCCTTGTAATACTACAAATAATGAATATAAATCACCCGCCTTGATTGATCGTCTATTTTTTTTTGTACTACATAGATATCTTATTTCGTACACCAACAACTTGTGAATTCAAATATGAAATTTCTGAAGTCAAAGTCAAGCCACAGCCGATTATTTGTGCGGCGGACGACAGCAGCTGTCGATTTAGCTTTCTCAGCCTCCTTTTGTTAAAAATTTAAAACCTGTAGCCCGAACTCGTCAATACGAGAACAGATCAAAATTATTACGATATTAAAGCAATTCCACGTAATGCTTTGGTCAAGCAGCATCATAAGTTTAATCGAAAGAGGGGGTATATCCCTGATAATTCTAAATGACTTCTCATGTTTATTTTCATCCCATTCGCCGGTGTATGTTGACAGACACTGTGATACTTGAAGAGTTATCTATTCTGCGTCTAAAGCTGTGACTCTTTCAGCAAACGCTTTTTTCAATTTCGAAACGATAATTTCGGGCCATTCCTTCATGAATTTCTTCTTGGCAATCGAAATGTTGGAAATGAATGTAGAGTATATTTGTGTTCATTGATTGGAATCCATCGGACGTCAGGAATCCGCTATTTATTTAGCCGAAGGGCCTATTCTTGGGCAGTCCAAAAGATATTCACCCTCGCATGGCACCGATTAGCACATTTCCGCGGAGCATCATAACAAGCTATTGAATAGTTTCTACAAAGCTCAGGAAAAAAACATTCCTGAGCAACAGAATATAGGAACAGAACGTATTCCTCAATAAGGTGTCAACATAAGTAGGAACATTGTAACAGGATACAATTCAGTCACTGCACGTTAACTCGATACATCCACAGCACTATCATAGCTAGTTGAGATGACCGATAATGGCAATGCTCGTCCTGTTCACTCAAGACTCTGCCCCTTTTCCAGCCAACCAAGGAGACGACGAAACGCAGAATAGAGAACCAAAAAGCAAAATAAATTATTTCATTCGTGAAATGACGGTTTATGATTTATGATGCCAACTACGTCCATCACAAACACTGCTTCCGAGATTTGAGGAAACGAATGAACAAACTTCTTACGAACGCTTGTTTTGTGCTGCCTTCAGCACATACCGCGGTATTCAGATGTCGAGGTGGATTTATGCTCCTTCATAAATCCGTGCCGTATCTTGCGGACCGACCGTATCATACAAGTTGCATGGCTTCCCTGCCAGCTGTAATCGACGTGGTTGCTTTGAGCCTCATGAGGTCCCAGGGAAAACGAGATCACACAACTCGCATGGTAACAAAAAGCTATTGATTAGAAACTCGGGAGTACAATAAACTAAGCTCCGTTCTGGATGTGTAGAGGTGCGAATTTCTCTTGGAGAGTCTGTCCCTTATGTCGGTGCTCCCAGTGTGGCGGCTGATAACACGAAAGGCTTTTTAGGGCCAGGCCTCCTTCATCCACTAAATATTCCACTGAGAAAGTTTCCGATGATTTTTTTTTACCATGCAGGCCTGCGTCACATTCTTCTAACGCTGCAACCCGGTTGTGACTCCACTCCTGTTTCGATTTCCTCTTCTCTGCTATCCTAGTTATAAATACCATCCAGCACACTTGAGTGTTTGTCGTGTCTGGAAAAACTCACGAAGCCTCGATCCACTTCAGATCTCATTAAAACTTCAGGAAGATACAAAAAGATTTCTCCAATTGACGATTATGGCTCTTCTTTTAAACACTTGATGCCAATGACTATTCAGGGTCAGCCTCCTAAAGATCTCCGTTCCCTTATCTAGGATCGACATCGTGGGGGCAGATCTGACGGAACATTTTCACGGCGTCAATGACCGGTGTAAAGTCCAGGAGACCTTATTTTTACCCGATGAATACGACAACCGTTAACGGACTCAATCACCACCTCTTACACTTGGTCCCTGCTCCACGTATGTGTTAATGATCCCAGTTGCGTTTGAAGAACTGTGGACTCCTTGCTTATAGTTATAGACAATATTTCCCCTCCAGTGACACGTACGGCAGGCAAGGTGATTTTTTCGCTTGGCGGCCGCTACCTACAACAAAATTCGAGCTACTCCAGCCTCTCTCAGATTGTGTCGGAAGGAACCTTGCTCCCTTACTCTTACTACTAGGCCATAACACGGCTTTAGGCAGATTATTGAAATGATCTACGCGCTCTGTTTGGGTGCTCCAATAGCATCTACAGACATTAGTGCGGGTAGTGCGGAAAAACCCTATATCTTCCACTCATCTCTGTGCTCCATACTTTTACTGATGGGTCAGCTCCGATGAAATAATTCCATTCCGATGACTATTAAGCTGAAGAAAGAGTGTTCACGTCTTTCGGCCCTCGGAAATTCATCCACGGGATTCGGTGAACGAATCCCGGCAGATAAAGCCAATTTACAGATAGCGGCTACCGCTTATTGATGCTGCTGAACTCCGAACTGTTACAAAAAATATTTAAACCGAAATAGAGTTTTCAGGTTGCCTGTGATCAGGGCTCTTAAAACAAAGTATAATAATCATGGATTATGGAACACGACAAATTACATATGAATTGCAGTGACGATGACACCTGAAATGATGTTATTATAGAAATTAATAAGAAGCTGCGTGAAACAGAGTTATGCAGTAATGACGACTGCGATGACGCTATTCTGTAATGAAATTCTTGTAGCCATTTGTTGAATCCAAAATTTAACTTCAAAGGTGATATCGGTTAGACGGAAATAGTCTTGAAGATATATTACCATTTCTTTTCTGATGGCAACCTTTGCTCAGAGGCTACATCGTTTGTCTCGATGCAACGTAGCAAATGCACCTTTACTCGAGCCCCACACACGTTTGTAAATATAAACTTCAATAAATTATGATAGGTCGAGCAATTAATCATCAAGTCAAAAGATCTCACTGAAGAAGAATGCCTGTAAAAGTAAGATGTGAAGTATGGTTTGATAAATAAAATCATCTGCAGTGATACGACGCGATAAATGTTTGATTATGAAAGCTGTTGATTGATACGAGGTTAAAGCATGGAGTGGTAAGGCGACTGGTTGTGGCGGTGACTGATGACCAACGAACAATGATGATGCTACAGAATCTGCAAATAAATTGGAATGCGTGCGACATGAGCTGTACCAGAGAGTCGCGCTGTAGGTCAGGCTGCGCGCACCATGGTGGTAGAGAGTGCAGGCGTAGGGCCGTGGCTGGTCTACGGTGCTGGAGCGCCACCTGTAGGACACACCAGCACACTGCGTAAAGGTACCCACACAGTGAAAGCAGGTTTGCCCGTGCGGGCAACCTGCTCCAACCTGCCGCAAGAATGAAGAATAGGATAATAATGTAAGTTTTCACAGTGAAAACCTGTACGAATAGGCCAGCGCCAGGCCTATTTATTTCAATTTCAGGCGCCAGCCTCAGCAGGTAACCAGCACGCTGGCAACCTGCTTTCACTGTGTGGGTACCATTACTCACTCTAAGCAGCCCTATGCCAGCTCCGGGAGTCTGAGGTTCCTCTTAAAAAATTAAAGCGAAGGCCGTGTGACGCCTATGCTGGCTGTAATAATGTTTGTATATTACAGTCCTCTTAACGCCATGCTGGACGTCTCAAGGTGGCCGAGACGACAACAGGAGAGATGAGTTCAGAACAATGCTTGCGAGCCGATAATCCACATTAAAGCTCAGTTTTACTGGAAAATCAGTTGAAACTCATTAGTTGATTCATTAGTTGATAAAACCTCTTGGACAGCATAATCAGACGTGATGAATTACAATGACAAAATGTAGGAATACATTTTTAAATCAAAACTGTCAGCATAGAAAGGTTTAAGATGAATTTTTAATTTCTCTCTTTTGAATACTGATACAGCAGTAAGAATCATATGGATTCCTGGAAACTGCTAATGTGTACTTAATCGGATGACACTATGATTTCTTAGTCGGAGCCAATGCATTAATATATCATAAGAACAATTCATTATTGGCCATCAAATACTAACGGAAATCATGCAGAGCTGAGCGAGCTCGAGACATGATAACCGGACTCAAGTTTTTATCAAATGAATTATGCACTTTTCTTGTGAGACGCAAGGATATATATTTTATCTATGAAAAAAACAATGAGGAAACCGTACAATTTTTGTTCTTTATAGTGGCGCATCGCCACCAGCAATTCATAAATAGCATCGAGTCTTGTTCCATAATACCAAGTACACAAGAAAGACGTTGGTGACGTTCCCTACGGAGAAAAAGTCATCTAAAACGTTCGATAGTGCAGAGTGTGAAGGAAACGCTCAGAATTTCATAAGGCTTATCAGCAACATTACATTCTACTTCGACAAAAAGTTACATTTATTCAGCCTGAATTCAGTTGAAGTTCATTCACTATTTTTATTGGTACTTTTCTCAGCTATGAGTCAGAAGGCTGTGTTCGATCATCTTCGGCATCTTCAAGCGGTTCAAATTAAATAAAAAAGGTTTACATCTTACTGGACGCGGGGTTTAAATTCAATGGAAAGGGTTTACGCCATTCATCCCCTCAAATCTCATGTGTCAGAATTCCGCTAACATTCAAATTACGGAATCGGATAATGCTTACAGGTTGATTTACTCGGCAAAGATCCTGAGGGCAGCGTGAGCAAGATGTGCAGAGTGGATCCTAGGTTATTTGTTCCCTATAATGATCATAACATTGACATTGATTGTTGAATTGATTGCATTCCACTTTGAATTGTTGCGCTTACTGTCAACGTCTTACACGTCAAGGTTGCTGGAATAATGCACTCTCAGTTTTATTACAGTCAAACTTCAGGCATCAAATATTTTTCATTCGTCAGTTTAAACCGATTTATATGAACCAATTTCGCATTTCCATGCGCTTCTTCGATCACAATACCGTCGTATATTCCAGCACACACGAAATAATACATGAGGTTGAACTAGCTCTGTGAAGCGGACATCGAGGAATTTTTAAGATTATCAAAGAATAGACAATTATGCAAATTAAAGAAAGTAAATTGAAATCAATCGCTTGACCAATAAGGACGTATTTCGTAATATACATAAAAATATTATACATTTTATAAGAAGGTGTAAAAAGATTTCATCATAATTATTTTAGGTCTTAACTACAGCAAAGTCAGCTCTACTTGGATGGACACTACAATTCGTTAATTTAAGAGAAGGTTGTCAATTTCGACAGCATTTGCCTTTATTTTTTTGCGAAGAACACAGAGTCCAAGAAAAATGGAAGAGACTTCATGGCAAGTGTAAAATTTATTCATAGGTTTGGCAAATGCAAATATAAACTTGATATAATGAGATATACAGGTAAACCAGCTGGTTAGTCTTACGTAAATCAGGAGAAAAAAAAATAATTTTGCAAGACAATACTGAGTTATGATTCAATTGTAAAGATTTTCTTAAACCTCCAAATATTTGTTTTTGCTTATGCAAAAGCGGGAAAAATAGAGCGCAAGATTTGATCAATCAAAGAACCCCAAAACAGAGTGTAACCCTATACTTATTTCCTTAGCCTTTATGGTGACCGCTTGTCTCAATATTCGAATTTTTTAGATGTTTCGCAATATCTGAAGACCTAACGTGTTTTTTGAAGATCAGTTCGTGGAAGTTTTCTTCTACAATTTGGAGCTTTCTTCGTAGCGATATTGTAGCATAAAATTTGACCTCTTGATAATCAGGCAACCAAAATTTTATCCCCATATTACTTAGTAATATTTCGAGGATAGGGAATAGACTTTTTACGGCCAGCTGTAAGGCGAGCTCACCAAATTTCTCGTAATGCAAACCACGTGCGTAAAAGCCTACGTCGCAAGGTGCTAGCCTCGGCAGTACTACCATGAAGCAGGTTAAACGGGTTAACCGGTTCTGTTTAATGCAATACAAGCAATATTCATTTTCGTAACAAACAAACTATACAGCTGGCAAACTACATGTCGACAAGGTCTATCAGTCAACAGTACTTACTATTAATCATGAATTTCATTTCTTTGGATTTTTCTCTTGGTTCGCCTTATATTAGAACTACAACCAATGTTGGTCCATGACACGTCGGACGTGACGTCAACAGTATACTTACTTTAAACCATGCATTTCATTTCTTATGATTATTCTCTAGGTTCACCTTATATTAAAACTGCATTAAGTCCTTGACTTAGTTCATGACACGTCGGACTAGAACTGCATTAAGTCCTTGACTTAGTTCATGACACGTCGGACGTGACACGACAATCCATACCGACCTTGAGGCCCTCGTCGATGTCAGTGGAGCCGTCGGCCTGAAGCTCGTCAATGATCCTGACGGCGCGCTTCACGGCGCTCGCTGAGTGCCTGAAGGAGACGTGAGTGCGCGCCTTGTTGCTGAAGCTCACGATGCTGAACGCGTCCCCTTCGTTCAGCTCGTGTAGTATTTCACGCAAAGCTTCCTTCACCTGAGCAATATTTCGAAGAATGCTCAATGATTTTATTCATTTTTTATGTAATAATAGCTCGCTTAAATATTTAGAAGAATGCTCAATGGTTTTATTGATTTTTTATGTAATAATAGCTTGCTTAAATATTATCGAAGAATGCTCAATGGTTTTATTGATTTTCTTATGTAATAATAGCTCGCTTAAATATTAATTCTTTGCCAAAGTCAGTGCACGAACAATGCATATAAAATAGAGCGAAATTTGCTTGCTACATCTTCAGCCAACAAGACTTTCTCGTACATTAAATGCCTGGGCTTCAATATCTGTTTAGGGTAAATGTTGGCTCATGAATTGATGCGTGAATTGATCCCAATTTAAGTGCGCAGTTTTAGCAGGCTGACTACCAAAGCTACTCCATTAAAATCCTCAATGCATTCACCGGTATTATTCGGTATATGAAACAACCTTTATTTAAAACAGCACTCGATTTATTTTCCTTAACGAAATTTTCTCAAACGTCAGGAATTACAAAAAATCACATTTCATTTGATACGAACCTTCAGAAACTCAACTAAAACTTGTCATTATTGCCAATCAATGCCAAATATGCTCAATTTGAAGCTTTAAATAGCGACTCGATAGCAGTAGTTATGGACCGAATGACTTGAAATACCGCGGTAGAAAAGAAGCATGAAGTGTCTTGAATAGCGCAGTAGTGACGATTGCATTCATCGATAAAGTCCCGATACTCGCGTCGGTGATGGCATGCATGCCTTTCTAAAACCTAGTGAGCTGCAGGTCTCCAGTTTGAAGCTTCAATGCTGATAAATCTTAAAATTTTGTTTGGAAATAATACAATCGGTTCAAGAATGTATTAAAAGTAGTGAATATTTCAAAAAGATTAGTCCTAGATCAAGTTATATAACAATAAAAGAAATAAGACATTTTCCGTAAATTTAGATGAATGATTTTTTATAAATAGGTGCTAATTTCAATAGAAAACGGCATAGATTTAATGCTTTCATGACCTCAGGCCCATTTACCCCGGTCAAGCATTCTCGGCGAACACATGTTTTCAATCGTTTGTGAGCAATACATTGTTTGAAATATCACCGTTAAACGGTATTACCGGCGTTTCAGTGGCCGGTCGGCACGTGAAATGAAACACCGTGTCGCCGTTTTTATTCCAATCTAACATTATAAATCCGTACAACATCTGAAAAAAGTAGCCAAGCGTCAGTGAGACCGTTTTTTCGCCGCTTTTTCCAACAGTGTATTAAGGTCGGTGTAAACACTAGCCCACGCCAAAATAGGTATGCGGAACCCGGTAACGAACGTTAGCTGCCGAACCGTTATAGGTGAAAACTTGGCGAGTGTTCAAAAAATTCAGTGTTTGTGAATGGCGTATCTGCAGAGTTCGAGCGGCCGCTTCAAAACGGAGATATTTCAGTTATTTTAATTTAAGCCATCTTAGAAAATTATATACATCTTGGAAGTTGTAAGATACAATATATATATTTATGTATGCTTTATTATATTATCAAATGAGGTTAAATTTACTAATCTTTCATTTTTGGGGTTACATCTTTCAATGGTTGGGTTACATTTGATTGGTATTTACTTTAGTTACATGCATATCACTATTTAGTTTATAGTTCACATGCTTTGGTTGCATGTAAATTTGGGTAACAAATTGGAAAAGTTGGGGAGCCCCTGTCCTACACGAACGAGTTCTCTATGAGTATAGACAATGTCATAGCACAAACAACGCGATTTCTTTCTTTCAGGAATGACAATTCAAACTTACCGAGTTTTTTTCTCAGTTGCTATTTTCTCGTTTTCTAGTAATTTCGTAAATCTACACAGCGCATACAAAGTTTTGATAACGCGGGTGCCATGCAGGTAACTTTGCTCAATGTTCGAAAATAACTGAATCTTGTTTTCGATCTCATTTCAACGGTTAGAATGCTAGAAAACTTTTGAAAACAATGCTAGGCCGGTATAAATTGACCGTAAGATATTGAGACCCGGCAGCCTCATAGCAAGCAGGCTCAAATGAATTTTTTTAACACAGCGTTCCGCATATCAGCGAAGTTTTGACCTAGAAATTTGCCTTGTTATTCGTGAATTTTTTTTGTCCCCGATTATAGCCCCACGTGCGAAGTCTGCTCTAACGCTCATTTTACTTCCACTGCGCTGGCATTAATTAGAGTTCAGTCAGCGCTGAGGGCCACCTGAAATAGAATGTCCGGCTCATTGTTTAACAATATTCAAAGTTAGAATTTATTGAAATTTACCGAGTGATTAAGTGCTCAATGGAATTTAGCAATGAGTTTCGAGCATCAACTTATTGAAGTAAGAATAATAATAAATAAAGCAAGTTCCTCCAGCATCTCTGTCCCAATTTGGACATATATTTATGTGAATCATATTGAAGTTATTTTTGCTTTGAACATCACGGTGCTAGCCCATTATTCTTCTCTTAACGTAAACCAATCATTGGGGCACTTTTAAGTCATCTTGATCACTTATATTCAATATATTTTTACTAGAGGGATGAAATGCCTACAAGTACAGAGATGCACATATAATCTCCAATAGAGAAAATGTAAAGTTTAATTGGCCTAGAACGAGCCAATCGATTTGTCGGTAATAAAAATTAGGTAAGTTTTCAAAAGAACAAAAAAAGTTTATCTGGGGCGTCAGTATATTGGGAATTAATGGCTTTTGACTTCGTTAATTAATGTGTTGTAGAGATATTTAATCACTCTCGGACATCAGACACTACCAAGAACGAGGAAATTCAGAAGCTATTTTAAAATCGGTGGCCTTTGTCTTTTATCCGCTACACTTCTGATGGCGACGTGCATTTTTATCAACTCAGCGCGAGGCTCAAACATAAAATAACATACCATAGTGATCTCGGCGCTGAAGTGTAGGCCAGATGTGGCCTGCCGCCGATTCTTTTCCTTTTCGTGCCTTGTTCACATAAGATCTAAAATCGTGTCATTTGACCGGATCTTTTCATGACTGACGATAGTTTGAAGTAGCTACTCGACTTCCACCGAGTTCGATATGGTGCTAGGCAAGAAGCAATAGACGAAATAAAAGACTCACCTGGTCGAGCTTGGCGCCGTGCATGGAGTGCGAGGTGTCGATGACGAATGTGATGTGCTTGGGAGTGTAGGACATGTCCACTGGTGCGAAGTAGTGTACGAAGTAGCCTCCCTCGCACTGAACACACAACATTATACCACACCATTAACCCAAAGACAATCTCTCAACATTTAAATGCATGAAATTAATGTTAAATAATTAATTATTGTCAATGAATATTAATAACAATAATTGATATGTATGAAAAAATGTAAAAAATTTGTTGAGTTCAGAGGGGGCTTTATGAGCGTATAGCTTATAGGTACAGATGGGCGGCTAAAAAAAACCGTGGAATTACACGAGAAGCGCTCACGAAAATATGGTATTCTACTTATGGTTTCACAGAGAAATATTGACAACTTGTTTCCAACTTTTGTTTATCCCGTTATTTGCTCATAATTATATTCTACTGTAAAAATTCATTAAATTAGGAAAAAATGAAAATCATTGTCAAGCACATAACACAAAATGAAGTAACTTTAGTTTTTTGAACAATCTATAGATCTTGCTGATCAAATTCAATCGGCAACATCGTCACAACGGCAGACGGGTAAGTAAATGAAGAACCGAATGATATTATCAATGCAAATAAATCTTTCACGGATATTACTATGGAGCATTTAATGCTTTTAAAAATAACATTAGCCAATAATATTGATAGCCTTTCAATAATAGCCTCTTTCTTCACAAATTCTACATATTTTTGCATTAGTTAGTATTGAGAATCAGTCATTCGCACTGGTTAAATATTTCCTGCATCAACATACCCAGTGAAAATTTACAGTCGTGTCAGCTTCTGATTTGGAGTACCAGAAGCTGAGGCGACTCTAAATTTTGTTAGGGTAGTCCGACAAGCGATTACAACTCAGCCCTTCAGGTGAGCGAACCATCGACGAGTGATGCATTCGTTAAATTCGTTTAATTATCTTGCGCACATGACCAAACCATAGCATAGCATAGAATAGCGTAATGTAGCATAGCCTTGCATCATTGGTGTGGAAGAATAGGCCTGGTTAATTAGGCCAGTCGCTGATTCATGTACTCTTCGTGACTTGTTCACAGATCTAAAAACTGGCCTTTTGACCAGATCTTTTCAACTGACGTTAGTTTTGCATAATCACTGGACTTTTACCAGTTCCGTAGGGTGTTATGCATTTCAAGACTGAACATATGCTTTTGCATAGCATTGTCTAATTTATTCTTGCAAGCGTTCATACTCGGAGGGTCAAAAAATGCCACGATTTTACTCATCAAACGAAAAAATATTTTATTGTCGTGCGCCTTGAACTAGAACCAAACGCGTTGTAAGACTTGAGTTATTATTAGCGCTGAACAAGTGGAGCGTTGACCAAACGCTGTCCCGAACACTCGCAAGCATCCTGATTAATCTTAATAAAGTAATTACCAGACCGAATATACGCATCAGAGCCTGAGTCGAACAAGCTGCTGTAGATGAGTCAGATGAAGACATCGGAGGACTGAGGTAAGAGTAGGTCGCGGCTGGAACAGACAGGTCGTGTTACTATTATCTTGCCGTTTTAAAGAGGATAGAACAGCAAGAGCTTGCATAGCGCCGACCATTAGGTGTGACGTCACGGTTCCTCTTCTTTCCCCACAACCCCTCAAACCTCCTCCCCAGTCCTGCCTCCTCACACTAGGACTTTCTGATGCAGCGAAGCCCACGCACTTCTACGCAAGAGAGTGCAGTAAAAAAAATACCTGCAGACGCGACGCTCTGCGATGTGCGCTCACGTCTCAGTCCGTAGCAAGAGCGCACAAAGGCATCAGAGTTCGCCTCTTCAGTGCCGCCCACACATACAGTGCGTGGGGGTATAACGAATCTCTTCAAATTCTCGATGAAATTGGAAAAGCGAGACGATTTATTATGCTTTTCAATACCAACGTAGCAAAACGAGGACCTTTAGCTGACTCGTGTAGGAAGTTTGATCAATTTTAGCAAGTAATGAGATGGTTTGAAATACGGGTATATATAGATTCTGATAATTAATCATTAACATTTGGTAATCTGTGATTAAAAACACGTTTAATCGTGTACTGCGGACCAGCTATTTCAGCTAGTTGCACATTTCTGCCCTATATTATTGAAAAATTTTAATTTTTTTTTGCTCAAATTCGATCAGAAAAGGAGCAACATTTTCTGGTAGACCAGCACCGAGTGCTCTGTTGCATGACGTCATACTGGACGACGAGCACCCTCTTGACGTCGTACTGCACGACGAGCTGCTAGCTGACGTACCTGTACGTCACCAGCGTCAAGTGCCCTCTTGACGTCGTACTGCACGACGAGTTGGCCGCTGAGGCCGCCGTTCACATGCAGCAGGTCAGGCTCAGGGTCGAACTGCAGGCGCGCCGTCTGGCTGCCCTCGCGCCACTCGCTCACTGCGTGGCAGGCAGTACGGCCGAGTCAGCAATGAACAATCTTGTAAAATAATACGCTTAAGCAAAGAAGGAATCATTTTCAAGTGAATTTCACATAAAAATAATCAACCCTATTAATATAGATAGTCTTCAGCATCGAGTCACTGCATGGCAGGCAGTACGGCCGAGTCAGCAATGAACTATCTTCTAAAATAATACGCTTAAGCAATGATGGAATCATTTTCTGGTGAATTTCACATAGAAATAATCAACCCTATTAATATAGATAGTCTTCAGCATCGAGTCACTGAATGGAAGGCAGTACGGCCCAGTCAGCCATGAACAATCTTCTAAAATAATTCACTGAAGCAATGAACGAATCACTTTCTGGTGATTTTCACATGAAAAGAACGACGAGCTTCAGAAGAAAATAGAAAATAATCAGCTCAATCCGATATAAATTAGTCTTCAGCATCGAGTTACTGAGATAGTGACGGTATAATCAGGGTGAGAAAATATGAATGATATTCGAGAGCGGATGACAAGCTTGATGTGAGCATGAGAATCTCATGAATAAAATTTGGTTTAATGGAAAATTACTTTTGAGGCAAACTTATTAGCTTCAGACGGATATTCTCCACAATAAAAGGATTATCTCAATTATAGACTAAAAAGCACAAATAATTAACAAATAATCATTCACCTCAGACCAGGAGGGTGGCGTGAGAAAAGAGAAGGAAAGCGTCGCCAGATTATCTTGTGCAGGGAGAAAATTCCATCGTGACGAGGAAAATAATTCACCGTAGTTCATTCCCGCCATTAAAGTTCGCGTACCTTTAGAGTTACTCGAGGTCGGGAAGCACTGCACTGATGGAAAATGAGCTGTTGGCCTCACAGAGTTGGTAATACGAAGAGTGGCTCCCAGTAAACAGAAAGCCTGGCACCGCGCGTCCAAACTTGCGGGATGGCTTTGAATCTAAGCTCGCTGATGTCAGGCGTTCATACCTGCGCTGCTGAATCGCTAGCCCCCAGGGATAGCTTTAACTCTGAGCTCGCTGATGTCAGGCGTTCATACCTGCGCTGCTGAATCGCTAGCCCCCAGGGATAGCTTTAACTCTGAGCTCGCTGATGTCAGGCGACCATACCTGCGCTGCGGAACTGCTCGCCGCCTGGGATGGATTTAACTCTGAGCTCGCTGATGTCGCGCGTCTCGTGGATGGTGAGCTCGACCAGAAGATCTTTCACGGGGTAGTTGGGGTGCACGTTGAGCACGTGGCTGTACACGCTCAGGCGCCGCGTCAGAAGCTCCTGTATGCACACGTTATTTCGCTAACCCTAATAAAATTTAGAGTCGCCCCAGCTTCTGGTAATCCAAATCAGAAGCTACCGCGTCTGTAAATTCTTACTGGGAAGCACTTACAGCAACCCGAGCAATGAGCTCGCCATATAGCTTGCTGTAAAATGATACTATTCCCTATCTGCTCAACTAGCTACATTTTACATGGAATACCTCGCACGACAAACTCAATCTGAAAAATAATTACTTCCTGGCGACTCTCACGACATATTGCAAAATAAATTAATAAAAGCGCGGGCAATTCCTTCAAGTATCTACCATAATTCTTCACTTATTCAATTAATTCATCTTAACTTCTATTACTTTAAAATTTAACCCCAAAAATGAGATAGAATGCATGTTTTTCAGAACCAAACCCCGTAATCAGTACGCACCTCGTAAGTCAAGTAGAAAACAACTTGATCGAGACCAGCCACGCTGACGTCAATACGAAACCTGGTCGTGTCTCGTTCCCTGAAAAGATTAAAATGTCCTTTGATTAAAAGAACACGCAACACATCACATAAACTAATAGAACAATTCTACCCTTTTTGCAATAATTAATTCTCTGACACTTACGCTGGATAATGGACAGGACGATGGTCCACAGGCGTGGACGAGGGAAGCATTTTTTCAGTTCCAATCTATTCTCCTGAATAATAGAATGCTTTCCTTCATTCTCTGATCTTGCTTCACAATCGACCAAATATAGCGTGAGTAGGCGGCCTCCAACCAGAAAATGTAGGCGCAAGACTCCCAAATATAAGTGAATTTACTAATTAATACAAAAGAACAATGCACGAATTGATTCCATCCTGCGACGTGATGCATACGTATAGTTTGTCGTTGACGATAACATGTGCTTATGAAATTATATTCCATTTAGTAAAATAATAATCGGAATAATTATAACCATAATCTGAAGACCGTTTCTAAAGAAAATCTGCATAACATTTTATTTCTACTGAGCACCAATTTTATTATTCACTATTAAGATGCATAGGAGGCATGGTCGGCCTGTGTCCTTAATTGAAGGTCAACTGCACGAAAACTGAATTGGAGGCCGCGAGCAAATAGGATTAGCCTCAAGGGGAGGGGGAGGGGTGGCGTCTTGGTAGTGTGGGAACTTGGGTATACTTCTGGTATGTTGTGTACGCTTCTGGTATGTTGTGTACGCTTCTGGTATGTTGTGTATGCTTCTGGTATGTTGGGTATGCTTCTGGTATGTTGTGTACGCTTCTGGTATGTTGTGTACGCCGTTTTATTTCCGATTCTTTCATCTACCAGTAGAAACAAATGAACGAATACAACTAATGTTAAAAAGAACTGTGTCCCTCGATGAACTTTTAGCATATGGCCCCATGTCAATTGAAGTGTAGTTCTGCTCTAGCAATGCAGTTAAGTGCCCTTCCTACGTTGAAGTGCCCTTCCTACATGCCCGGACTTGGTTGCTCCTATGACTCTGTCTTTCTGAGCTTCATGACGGCATGACCCTTCCCTACACCTCGAACTCGACGTGCATGTCTCATTGTACTATATAGTTGCACTAACCCTATTCACGATTTCGACCACCTTTGTTCTCATCAAGTCATCCGCCTTCATCATCTCTCAAGCCGCCCCATCATACAACCTGGCATCTCCACACCACACAGACATACAGAGAATTATAGGTACTAAGAAAACCGTCCTCAGATTTCCAACTAGCCGACCCTGTTTATGTAACGACTCGGCTGCTGGATTTTACGCCGTAATATATTGACTAATTTAGTGTTTTGCGGTAGATCGCCCGCTGCCAAATTGTCTATTTCTTGAAAATTGCCAAGGTCGAAGAAAACTTGTGCTACTTGAGCGTTAGCTGGCATGCTGGACTGTTCAGGAATGTTCATTAGTCATACATAAATCACATGATCTGTGTCGGCCCAAGGCGACTGTCATCATCCTACTTCATCGCATTTTGAACGAATTGCATTAGTTAAAACATTATTTGTTCGAGATCAAGAATATTTCGATAACATGAATTCTTTAACCTGTAAAATATAAGGGGTAAGTGCCAGTCATTAACCGTACGACAGTGATGTATCATCTAAATATAAATTGTGTCCTCATATTTTGAAGATTGAACGCTTCACTTGCATATTAGGCAGGCTGGAAGAAATGAACTTTATTGGCGAGCTAATTGGAACACTGATAATTTAGACGTCATAAAGTGTAGTAGTAGTAGTAGTAGTGCAAAAAAACCCTTATAGCAACATTGAGGAACTGTTGAAGTCAGTCATGTCAATGATTGTCTACACTCTAGGAAATAAACATTAGAATATGACAGTTGTACACGAAATAATTACCAGGAGTTCATTTCAAGTAACTTGGCGCTTAACCAACTTGTCATCCGGATCTGTCAGAAGAAAATGAACAAAACTTAATGTGACCGCGACGGAAACTTCCTAAGCGGTGTTGCTAAGTTCGAGGAAAAATTTAATTTTATAGAACAATGAATTTCTTAATTAGATAATCTACAAATATACCCTCCAAACGAAACTTTTTTTTGTTTCCGTTGCTATGTGATTGTGCATAATTGGTTTCGGTGAATAATTTCGATATTCCAGACCGCTAACTAATTCTTCATCCGTTCAGCGAGTGCACTTCAGCATTGTCTTGCGTGAGCTACCGTCAATCATTTAAATATATTTCGACTGTGACGTACGCCATATGTTGTACAAACTGCGTGTCCCAAGCTACGACGTGCGCCTTATCTGGTACACGCTTTAAAAATGTAACTTTATAAAAAAAGGTCCAGTAAAATATTACCCATATCATCAGCTTGTGAAAAATTTTATAGACTATTGCCAAAAATTCTTCATAAGCATGTTTCGATGTGGGACAATTAAATCAGAAGAAAATTACTTGTCATACCCAAGCACAAACTAATCAGTTGGCATAAAAAATGAAAAAGCGTGAAATAACAGATGTTATCCTATTCCAATGACGAAAAAAGTTTTACCAGCTGTAATATGGATTACCAAAGTGGGAAAATAGGTGCTGGCCAACGGGAAGTTGCCCAAGCTCATGGTGAATGCCGCATTGAAAAGCAAGATACGCCGTGAAACGAATTTCCAGCACAGGGATGGCAATGGCTAGTCACTTTTGTTTCGCTGCAGCACTACCATGCTTTTTAGTAATAATGTTGCAACAGGACCCATAGTAGTAGCTCGTCATGAACTTAGGCCCCTCCGTTTCAAGTATATTACCTACTCTGGAATGCAGACTTCTGATATCGGCGCGATCTGGTCATCGAATCTTCTCTTCGCGTGTGTGTTCTATCACGAGAGACGATTCATTCAGTAATATTTAACGCATCCAGCCATTTCAATTACAGCCATTTACTACTACAGCCATTTTTGCTAAAAAACTTGAATAGTTTTCGGTACCACTTCATGATTGGTCTTGATGCAGTATTGCAAGATGTCATCTGATGTGATTTATAAACTCCCCTTTTACCAGTATTGTAGTCCTGAATGTTCTGAGCTTGAGTATCGCAGTAATATTTCGTTTCTATTTGCCCAGAAAACTAGATTATTTCAAGCGTCAATACTTATGTAATGCATATTTTTGTTGCAGTCATAAAGCAAATGCCATGTACCTCGTATGGCCCAGCCTGCCTAGAGAGATAACAGTTTCCGTTCTAGGCGACGTGTACCAATAAAGTCTCTAAGTCTGTCAGAATCTTGTGATGCTCACTTAGACAAGAACGGCGCACTAACTCCTATTTCGCTGGTATGTGTATATCTTTATTCATTCAAGTTTGAACGAGACGCATTACTGGAATACAGGCTATTTGGCAGTCGCAGTAAAAGTGTTAAATTATTATGTAGGTAGGTAATTTTGCAGTGTTTTTCACGATATTTCAAAATTTCATAAACGTATCCTAAGGTCCACGGGCAGATAGCAAGGAGGCAGCTGCCTACTGTAGCATAGGTTAGACAGCTATTATATAGTGCTGCATTTCAGTATCCCGCAACAAGAAGCCTAGTCGATGAAATCAGACGAAAGTGTTCACAAAGCCAATGAAATGGATAGACCCTGGTTGATAGACTGCAAGTCCCCCACACATTTTGTAGCAATACTTGGCCAATTATATACGATTTTCAGTCCCAACAAGGTTTTTAATTCACTTTTCGTATGAAGCTTGGCAGATTTATTCTAAGACACCGTATGATTCTATTTTGCACGGTACATTATATTCTATAAATAAAAGTACTCAAAACTTCCAAAAATCATTCGTATAAGTTTAAACGAACTTTAGGGTGAAAACCCGAACACCTTTCGTTCCACATCATGAAGCATAAAATGTATTTAATATCAATACGAATATTGATATCATTCATATCAACAACGACACCGAACGAAACCCTAATGAAGGGCCTGACCCTCAAGCATAAAGTATCATCGACCTCCAGGCCGCTCGTTCAAATAAATTCCTGCTAACCACACTAACATAACTTTCTCACTGCAAAGCACCAAAAGCCTAATGCATAAGATACGCAGAGAACCAATAATTAGCAAACCAAATCGAGACACAATGAAAGCCGACATATAGCATGCTCGGACATTAGATCCCAATCCGACTCAATATTTTAAACTAAAACTAGAGCTTAAATAAGGGGATAGTCAGAGAAAGTAACCGAAAATATTTTCTATCGCAAAACAATTCGATTGTCTCCGTCAAGACAAGGTTTTTACTAAAATTGTATTCAGACGCCTGGTCAATAACTAACCACAAGTCATAATTATTACAGCAATAAGTATCTCGAAACCTCTACAGTCTTCCCTTAACTCACATTACACAATGCAAACAACAAACCAAATTAGCAATTACCTGCTGCCATCGTCTCATATTCGTTAACTAAGTTTTGGTTCACACCACACTGCCGAGCACGCGCTAGACACGGCCCAGTCCAACATTCTTCAATGCATAGAAGCATTCACACCAGCCGTGGAAGGCACCTGCCATGCCAGCCACGATCAAGGCAAGGGATATTTTGACCGGGACGCGACTGCAGCGTTACCAACTATTTTTTTTGCCGAACATAATAGAATGTCATTTAAACCTATTAGATTTTAACAAGCATACCAGAAAAAGAACAGCCATACCAGACTCCACCTTAACATCCATGTATTTACTTTCACAAATCTGGTATGAAAATATACCAGTTGGCAGCGCTGAACTGTGACTGACTGGCATGACACGTGATACGAAAGTAACTGTAATGAGGACGCCCGTGACCGGACTGAACATGTGCATGCACCAGTCATGGAACGGGCCGTGACTGACACGTGTCCAGCAGTGAGCTTACCTTATGATGAGTTTAGGACTACCTACTTAGTCCATGGTCACGCTAATGCGCCGCCTAACTGCCCAGCAGTCTGGTGTGAACCTGTTGTGGAGCTTCCAAAGGAACAAGCGTTCCCCGCCACATTGTACGGGATCATTCTTCATCCAATATTTCAATAAACCAACGCTTTACTAAACCAAAGATTTTCAATAAATAAACAGTCAAAAGCAAATATAATTAATAAAGAATAAATAGAAACAAAACGAGCCTAACACCTAAAAACCTAGCCCGAATCCTAGTCGTGCTTTTCAATAACTTCCAATTCACTTCGCAAGTCCAATAATAACTCTCTAAACACCTAACTAGAGAATATCAATAAATAATAAACAAATTAGCACGCACAAATAATCAATAACACGAAACAATTCACTTTAAAATTGATCACAAATATAATCACAGAGCTAGCGATTAACGCACTTCCACGGCCAAAAACACTAGACACAATGATAGACAACTTGACATTTGACAAAACTTCCTACTGCTGGAGGTCACAGCTAAGGAGATTGAAAACTGAAAATGGAAAACCAAAATCCTAAACCTAATACATTGCAACTTAAAAACTATATGTACAGCAATGAATCAATTTCCTATACAAACCAAGCCTAATACGACAACGCTGCGAAATACGAGTTTATTAATCTTAAATAATCTCTAAATAATGTCTCATCAGTACTCATATAGTGGTCACAAGTTTAAGACCCAGAAAATTGAAACATAGAATAAAGAATACGCATTTTTTGACACAAATGTATTACCATCAGATGACCCAGATCTTAGCCTCACTAGATTTTGTGTCGCGGTAACTTTAGCCCCCGCGTTGCGTGTTTTTTTTCCACGGAGTCCTCATTTTCAAGATCAGCTCGCACCTCAAGGCTATGCAATTGAAAACCCGAAACCTGCCAACGCATGTAGCAGCTCCTAGCCGCTCAATATTATTCCTCAATATTTCGACTGATACATTAATATTGAGCGCCTAGGGTCTGCTTATGGAGCGCATGACACGGAGTGGGGTATTGGTTTCAGGTAGCAAATCAGTGATTTTCCAGACACGGGAAATCGTAAATTGATAGCAGATGTTAAATGTTCGTACTGTCCGTTGGTTTTTATTGGTTACACACAATTTTGTCAGAGGTTATATTAAAATCACCCGTGAAAATAAATTTCGAAATAAAAGTATGTTTCAGAGAAGGCAATGATAAGCCAAAGTAAACATACTGACATTGGTATAGGAAGCTTGGACAACTAGCAATCTAACTTCGGGTGATGTCATACACAACAGCAGCCTTCCCTCACCTCTGGTGGACGATGGCCGCGTTGGTGCCGCTGTTCTTGGCTTTCTGGTACTGCAGCTTGGCTTCCTCGCGCTCCTTGACGATGCTGCTGTAGTTGCGGCCACCAGCCTCTCTGTGAACCGAGAGAGGCGATGCAATTAGTTACGGGACTCTGTTGGCTGCTTGGGATTAGAATATACGTACATGGCAGAAAATTAGATCGTTGGTACCAATGAAATTCAAAGATAGATTAGCAAAAACTGTTAATTGAAAATACATGTAAGTTTCATTCGTTTTTCCGAACAAGCTGAAATATTATGGTAAGAGAAAAAATGCGCTATAAAAGCCAGTTCTACGATAAGCTCATACGTCGTTTTTTATGGCGTATCTGCGCACGTTTGAGATAAAATTTAAAGGTAAGTCAAGATATTTAATTGCAGAAAACTGACGCAAAAATTGTTTTGTTTGTGGGTGGGTTTGGCATTTGATAAATTTCAAATTGAGCTTCATGAACGCGATTACCGACTGCAAAAGACTACTTAAACTTCTATTTCAATGCCTTCCGGTAATCTCTTCTATTACGAACCTCTTGACAACTCAAATCGCTTTGTATATGGTAGTCAAGAAGTTAAAATTCCGGATATCGATGCTCAATTCAAAGATATTTCAGTACTGCTCGCGAACAGAGGGATCAACAAAGTTACATCGCCTTATAGCAAACCTCTCCCGCCGCATTCCTTAAACAGGCAATCCCTCCCGTGGGGGGTACTCTAGAACAAGAAATAAACTCTTACCAGCACTGCTAACACCAAACGGCGAGTGACTTGCTTCCGTTGCCACTTGGAATCTTAACCTCGTCGACGTATAAAACGTACTGGAACTTATAGCAGAGCGCTCCTAGAAGTAGAGGCATGCTCATACCACCACAATAGGTTCAGATCACTGGTTATTTAGAATTATCAGACTTTATTTATAGTATTATCCCCCGTTGGTTATGATTAGATCCATTTAACTACTGAGTGAAGTCAATTAAATTTATTCTGATAAAATAAATGTGTTTTCAACGGAGCACTGCGACGTTCCCGACGAGCTGAGGCGAGGGACTGTCGTCGCCGCTACGGGACGCTGGTGCCGCACTTAGTTCTCGTAAATACAAACTTCAATTATATAAATTTGAAATGTTCAAGATTCACTCGTTTTTAGCGAATTTTCTCATTTATGGAAAAAATGCACTATTGTGCTCGCTATGTCCGTCCGTCCGTCTGTCTGTCTGTCTGTCCGTCCGTCCGTCCGTCCGTCTGGCCGTGACCTCAAGTTTTCGTCGACGAGAAAATGCGCTCTCTGTCACTCACTGCAGTGAGTACTGAGTTACATTTTTCTGAATCTCCCCGTTGGTCCCGTTTTAGAGCGACCACACTTTCCATCAAATTCGTGGCTTGGCCGAGCGTTTGATTCTGCGTTGAAGCCTCACATGAGCCTCCCCATGCATATTACGACCTCTTGCAGACTAGCTACGAGCCTACGACTTCCAAATGAGTGTCAGCAATGGTCCTGTCACTTGGGTTGAATAGCTTGCTCCGAACGAGTCAGTGCCACCCAGCCGAGTTTACTTTCTTAAGCAATTTTATATGCCACAATAAGCCTGTCACATGTTACCTTTTTATCTAGTGTAGTCTTCATTGACAGCTGAAGTTCCTCAGTAACTAATTTCTTCGTTCCGTAAATTTTCATGCAAAGTGCATCCTGTTTAATTATGTTTGTCGCCAGCAGGAATTTCGTAGCCCGTCTTCACCCTCAATTTCGGCTTAGGGCCTTGCTTGCATAGACAGGCTAAGAAATTTTACTTCACAAAATGCCTTAGTTTTCAAAAACTCTAGAAAACATTTGGCCTTTGGAATGAGTTTGGATACACTTGAATAGTGAACACTATTCTGAATTATGGGCGTGGGCGTAATGTACTTCTCATATCACATCACCTCCTTGAGACTTAGTTTTAAAGCTCGGGAAAATCCATAACACGTTATGATTGCCGAGCATGTGCTCCAGCTCATAAAAAAAAACTTCTTAACAACTTCTTACAATTTCTTTGCCTCAACTGCTTATGTGAAGAAAAAACCAGCGGCCATTGTTGTGTTATCTCCTGCGTGCATATTGTGGTGAGGCTTTAAGGCTCTGCCAGATGGTGTGGGCCAAGACCCGTCCCCAGGCGGTGTGGGCCAGGACCCGTCCACAGCAGGTGGAGCCCAGAACCGTGCATCAAAATCACACACGTTCAGCACGGAGACGTACACACACACACACTCACGCTCACGTTCACCACGAAGGTGTACACACACACAACCACGCCTACGTTCAGTGCGGAGGCGTACACACACACACGTTCAGCACGGATGTGTACTCACACCCGCGGTCCACAACTCAAAGGAAAGTTTGGAGCTCATTGCTCGCCGGCGCGACGTGACCGACCGACTGACAGGGAGCGTCGCAGCGTCTCGGTCGTATTGCTTTCAGGCATAAATGCATTATAAATCTTCGCAGACGACTCCATAACAAAAATTCCCAGACTAATCCATTATGAATATTTGCAAACGACTCAAAAGTGTCGGAAATAGAAAATCTTGAAATTCAGCTTCAGCCAAAAATTATAAATGCTAAATGAGAAACACTTATGTCGGTAAGCGACAACTTAAAATCGCTCATGTACATCGTTTTTGTTTCATAATTCGTCGTATTCAAATTTAAAAGATGTAGCCGATATACTCAAAATTAAATGCAAGCGAACTCATACGACGGCAACTGAGCAATTCCATTAACAGTACACGCATTAGAAATATTAGGCTTGCGTAGCAACATTGTACCCTTAGCAAACATGAATTGTACATTCGACTGTGGCAATAATGAATTTCGAAACTCAATTATTTAGGAATATATATAAAGTCATTAATCAATAACGTAATTCATGCTGAAAACTTGCATTGCAAGGCATGGTGAACATTTTTAGTGCTCGCTCCGTGCTGACTCCTTTATATTGTAATGCGCGCAGCATGAATGCACCATATAGGAATGCGACAAGCATGAATGAACCATTGGAATGCTCACAGCATGAATGAACCACTGGAAAGCATACAGAATGAATGCATCATTGAGATGCATGCAGCATAAATGCATCATTGAATTGTACGTATCGTGAATGAACCACTGCAATACATCTATCATGAATTAACCTGTGGGGTGCGACTTTTGTATATCATGGTGCGCGGATTGCTGTGACGTTCAAATGACAACGACGCAACTGGAAATATATTATTGGTTTACTTCTTACGTTTATTGTGAGTTGGGATCCATAGTTGATGTAGTCAGTAACGTTTAACGGCAGTTGAATAGAACGACTCAATGTTAGGATGTTTAAAAATGGATAAATTTGAGTAACACAAGAACACAAGCAGAAAAATCTAACGCGAGATCCCCCCACTCATTTTAATAAGCCTAACGCGAGACACCACTCCTATTTAATCTCACAAATCATAGTTCCAAACTCACGTCACACGCAAATCATATTTTCCAACTTGCGTCACGCGCAAATCACATTGCAGATTGAAACTTCGATTTTGTCCCACCGCATTAGGTGATCAAGCATACGACATCAACAAAAGCCACAAAAATTGGCAAGGTCCTTTTAAGCACCTGCCGAATCTCAATCCGAAGTTGAATAAATTTGAGAAAAGTTATGTTTCTGCCTTCGAAACGTTTGTAATTCTGCTCGTGGTTGAAAATTTACAAAATATTTGCTTGTGCAAATAAATTGTACACAATGTGGAGAATTACTTAGAAACGTCAAATGGAATTTTGTTGAGAACCGCCTGAAAAGCATTACCGTATTGGCTTAGCCATTCCGAAAACAGGACTTTCATTATCCGGCACGTTTTGTTCGTAACTAGATTAAAACTCCATAACCAGGCCAGTTTTTATTAAGTAGTAACTTGAGCAAAATTGTATGAACTGCATAGATTTAGGATTATGAGGCCAATATCGCTACAAAGGTTTATACCTTTTTATCTAATAAATACAACTCCAGACTGTAAATAAAATCAGTTTCTTGCGCATTAGCGCGGAACCGACTAGCTGACCAAAAAGATACATAAAAAATAAATAATATAAAATATTATATCTAAAATCAAAAAGTTATTGGGTAGCCTCTAGAGAAAACGCGTACGTTCATTAATAAATGGATGCATATTATAATTATATTATATAAATATAATACAAAATATATATAGAGATAATGAATAATAATAGCGAAAGTTTGGAACCAACTGACTGACCAAAGATGATACTTTTATAGTCACAAACTTCACCATAGCACAGGTCGAGAAAACAGGTCACCCGCTTCAAATAAGGTATAAAAAATGACTTGCGTTCTCACGGATGAACACATAATTTCTCACGAAAATTTTATAAATTGAAGTCTGTATTAATTTAGACAATCTATCATGTAAGCGACACGATGGCCACAACAACGACATAGTATCCCTTAACATTAATATGTTATAAAGTATCGAGCCATAACTCACATTGTAAGGTTAGTGATGAATGCAGCCTGTGGCAGCAGCGAGCTGAAGGTGGCATGCGTGGCGTGGGCCAAGGTATTGCGTAGTCTACACGTGACGGTGGTGACGGCGTAGCGCGAGATCACCACGCTCTGGATCCTGTAGGCCTGGATTTCTAGCCCGTTGAGCCCGCTTACTGGCGCTGTGTTCTCCTGTGAAGTGGAAATTAAAGCATAATTATTATATAAGAATTTAACCATGCTTCGAGACCTGAATGTGCTTGACAATCCTGTTATGTGGACCAAGACAATGGAGATGGCGTGTGAACATTTCATGGACGTGTCATTTTCATGGACACAAATGAGCCCAGCGGCTGCACTATCCAAGGATCTGTCCTTTGGTATAATGAATTCCTGCCTGATAAAGGTTAATTCATGAATTTTATGAAAAAATTTAAATGATTTTCCCGCTAAACGGTAATATAACGGATACTAAAAGACATATCATATTGTGAATTTACAGTTATTCGCTATACCGAAAGATAAGGTGAATTCCTTATTCTTGCTTGCGTTCCACTACATGAGATCATTATCATTACGTTTTTTGTAAAACTCATTCCATGTCCTACATTTTCCTTCATCTTATGCTCTTCTGCGTATTTGGAGTAACAAGATCGATATTGTAACTATTCGTCCCGGCGAAATCTGTTTTATTGGAAGTGCATTTCAGCCGAGATTCTTCCAAAATATTATGAGATACTTATAAACTGTGATATGATAACCACCTAATGACGACTCAAAGACTAGAATTTCCATCATTCTCGACAAAAAACACAGCGGTCCGACAATCGAGCGCAACACTCAACGCCCGAATGTCCATCGAACCCTAACGACTCCCGTGCCACCCTCATGACAACAGGGATGGCAAGGCTTCAATTCCAAGAGCTAAAAGTATAGCCTAATGCTAAACTTAAGCATAAATTTGGCGCTTATATATGGAACTGAAATAAAAGTTCCACTACGCTACAATCAAAAAACGATCGGTCATAAGACAATGTGTTGCTAGCTGTTTCATTGAGCGTTCTGCGCTATTCGTCTAATCAATGCATGGTGAGTGCAACCACTTGGACACTGCGGTGCGCGTGATCGAAACTAATGCATGGCTAATGGTGTACGCGATCTTTGGTATGCAAACCTAGTTAATAGTTAGTTGATTAATGGTACGCAATCCCTGCAGTCAGTCGACTACTGTTACGCAAATCTTTTTAATATTAATCTAAATTGGCGAATGTAATCTGGTCTTGAATGTAGGTAGCTAGGTCTAATTGTCAAAAAATATAAATAAAATAAATCAGGAAAATCTGTGCACCGAAATCGAAAAAGCGTTTGCGTATATCTATTTATAATAGATATGCATTCCTTCATGAGTATTATTAATTTTGTGCAAAATTTAAGAGAAAATTAACATTGGCCATTGGCCGCAACAATCTACGGTCATCGAAGTTATAGCGAAAATCGGCATTGGATGTAAATAAACGAAACGAAATAATCGAATTGATTATTTCTGTGAGTTATCATCAGTGAGACGAAGGACGCTCTTCAATCTATGAAAGCAAAGTAAAAAATACGCAATTACGAAATACAACGTCAACACGGAACGTTGACATCTACGCTCCATTCATGTGAGAGATTTTAAAAATATCATAGTGCTTCATCCTGGATCGAAAATTTGGGAATCCTTGTATATTTTTAAACTGTAACATTCATTGAATAAATACCCATAATTCTAATTGATAAATACTGATTTCAATTTCAACCTTGAAAATTTAGTCTAGCTAATTGAAACTATAGACGTATTATTAAGACCCTAACTGACAATGCAGATGGTCTCTAAAGCGCGTTCTTTAGGGAGATGTTGAATTTGTATGTAAAATTTTTAGTACTGAATTTTTGTTCCATGAAATTTAATTGAATTGTTATACGTTCTTCTCGTGTGATTTGCGATTTGAGGATTGATTTGACTTTAAATTTTTAGTCAACAAGAGACAGATTTTTGAACGCGCCCTGATCATACGATGACTTTGACGTACATCAAAAGAAACCAAACGCGGAACTTGGCTTTTTTGGCTTACGATTTTTTTACAATTTTTCAAACAAATATCAATCCTTTTCATGACATCAGGTTTTCATGACATTTTTCATCAATCCTTTTCATGATTTTTTTCAATCCTTTTCATAACATTTTTCAATCCTTTTCATGACATCAGGTCTTGTATTTATCAACTTTTTAATCTGATTGAACGGGTTCAGCTAGTGGCCTTTAAACCCTCATTATGAACACAAAAAGATCGTGACGCTAGTGTATCCCACCGGCGAGGCTTTCTGCTGCCGTGAAAGCGATTGTAACGCTTGTCGCCAGCAGCTGCTGCACGCCACGACTGTTCGTATATAATCCCAGCCATGGTCCAGGGGCCATACTTTCAAAACTCGCTAAGTGCTTACACTATATTTTCTTGTCTATGATTGGTACAATTTGCTTGAAAGGCCGTCAATGATTGGCAGATGAACTTACGATCTCTTAACTTTTTTTGAAAGTATGGGCCCAGGCCATTCCCTGCACCAGCTCCGCAACAGCGACGAGTCTGGCAATCATTGACGACTGAAACTCACACGGCGCCGGACCTTTTCTATGGTGAATTTTAGCCACACGCCACGCCGATATTATTGACCACAGTTGACGGAATCATTGTAATGGAGTGAGAAGCGGTGAATACGGAGGGTCAATCGGAAATGTTTAGCGTTTTAAGACTCAAGCACCGCATTTAGAGAGTGCGTCCTTCATGAACCGGAAGATTGCACATCGATGCTCATAAATGCGTCAAGAAGCCAGGTAAAAAATTTCTCGGGGTTGGCTGAGTAATGGCCCTCGTGTAATAATAGAAAATATTTGAGCATAAGATCATGAGAATTGCCAAAATAGAGAAATGGTAATTAATAATCACTAAAATTCACGAGACAAGTTTTTCAAACTTATCTTTCACCTCAAGGTATTATAAATAAACCGGAATCACTGCAGTTTTCCAAATATTTACTTCATTCATTTATAACTCGGAGAGAAATAAGTGAGTATGAACTGAAAGTAATATAAAAGCCGCGTGGTTCATAGCCATCAACTGCAAATGCCAAGGATTTGTGCCTCGACAGCCAAATCTGCCATCGTATTTGGGACAACAGCCGAGGCAGCGTCTAATAAATGTCGATTTGCATTTTATTGACGATTCAATAATTCTGCTCGGTTTGTTTGCATTGTTCGTTTCATCCATAAACTTTTATTTTACGAAAGAATACTTACGCCGAACAATGTAAACCTGCAACAAATTTTCACTTTTCAACATGATATCGCGACAATCCGAGTCTATTATAATACTCGGATTTTTTAACAGAATCGTATCGAATCGCTCATATATTTCGTGTACACAATTTGGTTGACTCGATGTTAGTTGTAAAAAATTTAAGTGCATTGTAAACACAACACACTGGGAACTCAGCTCAGTTTTCATTAACGAATGATACTTGTTAGAATTTGCGGTTTAGCGCCTTCCTTGCGTCTAAGCTGGTCGCGGATCGCACTATACGAGTACGGTAAGAGTAGCTAGGAAGCATTGCTCATATTTAGTACCCGAGTCATGAGTAATATAAAGCTTTCACAGTTGTTGATTCAGCATATCTGTTTTTACAGATATTCAGAGAAATGATTAAAACTTTAAAAAGCTGAGGGCTTCCGGAGGACCGTATGTTTGATGGTCGAGTGTCAGGTGTTGGTGTAAAACTAACTGCCCAGAATGATGGATGCTGCACCAGGTTTTGCCTCAAGAGTGTCCTATCGTCCAGGGTCATACTTTCAAAACTCGCTAAGCGAACGTAAGAACTTACGCTCTATTTTCTTGTCTATGATTGGTGGATTTTGCTTGAAAGGCCGTCAATGATTGGCGGATGAACTTACAATTTCTTAACTTTTTTTGAAAGTATAGGCCCAGCACAGCACAAGTCTGGGAAGCCAAGTTAAGGTCCAAGTTGCTGGAAGAGACCGTCGACTCTAAGTCAATTTGTTCGAGAGGATCGCCTAATCTCGGCTTCTAAATCTACGGAGAGTTAATCAAACATCTGAAGAACCCAGCCTCCAGAACATCTGTTCGTTGAGTTGATGTAGCAGAAATGTGCACTTTAACAACGGTGACGAAATAAAATCTCGGTTTAGAAGACAACCTTTAAAATACGTTTAAAGTGCGGCAAAAAACATCAAAATTAGTCCTTCGAGCAGTGTATAATGGGATTTTCTCTAAAACAGTATTGCATACCTAACTCAAGACCTTTGGCAGTGTTCAAGTTTGTAACAGTAATTCAATCAGACTTATTTTCCACTATCGCCTTCTGAGGACCTGTTGATTTCGCAAGGCGTTCACACTGTTTCGTTCAAACACCATACGTATTGCAGGTAGCGTGGTATTTTTTGGCCTGAAATTCCCGTAAAAAATCACCGTTCGAAAGGATAAGAATTTAGCGCAGCGGTCTGCCAGTCGCCGTATCACCGCCGTATTACTCGCCTGCCTCATCACTGGCGCTGGCGACAATGCGGGCGTACAGGAGCTCTCGGGGTCGCTAGGTACGCTGACAATGAAGTAATAATTTATAAATGCCTGAACTGCTGGCGCTGCGTTGCGGCAGGCAATAGCCCGAGGCTGGCGGCCCGGCAGCGGAAGTTTACGACTGGATGGAGTGTGCCATTGCTCTGTTCAATGATGCGCACCGATATTAGGTCTCGTATTCCAGTGAAACATGAATACCTCAATGTGTATTTCAAATATCGAATCCCAAGCTGCATGAAGGACTTATGTTAGTTTTTATGGTGATGTGGGAATTGAAGGCGATTTATCGATTTATAATAGAGAGCGTGAAATCAATGCAAAATTATCAGGAAGTCATGGAGAAAGAGTTACTTTTCTCTGACGGTTAAGAAAAATGTACGCACGGAATAGTACATTCGAACAAAGAAATACGAAGTAAATAATTCCTCAATTTGTACTAGAAGGAATATCTATTGTGCTTCCAGAGCTATATGGACATCTTTTTATTGCATTGTCAGGCAACCTTGCCTAGGATAAAGTTTAGCGAAGTTACGTCCGGAATTTAATGCCATTATAAACAGTATGAACTGCCGAGTGTGCAGGGGTGATGCTACTACCCTAAAAAAAGTTAGAGTC